GTCGACGACGACGATGACAGTGAAACGTATGACGCGGAAAGGACCGAACGAGACAGAGTTGACACTAGTAACCCTGAGCCAAGACGATCGACAAGGAATGTCAGGCAACCAGAACGATATGGCGAGGGAATTCCCTCGTCGGTAATTAGATAAAAAAAAGGGGAGTGATATAGTAATGACGTCATGTCATTCACTCGGCACCAGGACTATACGGTCGGAACTAATTAAATATATATATATATAGGACACGTTGTGTAGAAGGCACACACACACACACTAAATCACCAATAAGAACTATATCGTTATGTTATACTAAATATATTCTATAGCACAAATATATACCTAGTACTTAGATATTACAGCAGTGGTTCGAGCATTATACGTGGTGCTTTCGCCATTATACGCGGTGCGTTCGTCATTATACGCAGTGGTTCGAGCATTATACGCGGTGCTTTCGTCATTATACGGGGTGCTTTTAACATAATTTCCATATTCTTTCCATGTATATAATCTCACGATTGCTTAATAAATCTGGTATCCCTATGTGGCTGTGCTTTTTGCCTCTGGTCTGCAATGACAATGACATGCTTTTAAAAAGGTTTATTTATAAAAAGGTGACTGCACTTTGTGAGTTCCTATATATTATCATATATATAGTGTTGATTTATTAGTAATAAATCTGTGCTTATAACATAAGTATATAAATTAATATAACGCAGCAAATGCGCGCCAAGCAGTATAAACGCGGCTGAAATACGATATTAAAGGACATTGGCACCCCAAATTTTTATTACTTATATCTCTTAGGTATACGTGCGGAATATTTAATTTCATATTTTGGCCGTTTTGTCGCGTTTAGTTGTTGAGAAAATTTGATAGAAAGTTCAACAGTTGTCCGCCATTTTGAAAATAAGCGCGTATGCTAATTTATGCCTCAAAATACATTATCTGACGTCATTGGCTAGGTAAAAACAATTTCATGACTATAAACAATACCGAGTATTGCCACGCGTAGTGCATTTGAACCGAAACAAAAGGAAGCAAAGTTTTACCAAGTATGTAATTTGTTTGTAACACTATTTCTCATAGTATAAATCCTACTCCGTGTTAAATAAACGCAGAAATTCGAGTGCAACAAGACAAATACTAATGCAATATTTTATGATCAATTACCTGTATTGTAAATTGCGCCATTCCTTGCTTTCCCAGTCGCTCGATATGTTTTTATCTGATAGTGTAGACTTATCTTGTTTGATTGCGAAGAGTGTTGGCCAGTATAACGCTCAAAACGACATATTTTTAGCTAACATAACACGCACGCAATAGAATTCTGAGAATTCTCTCTTGTAGTTTTAGTGCTACCCATCCAATGACGTCACAAAGTTCATTGACCTTCCAGATAATTTGTCAAAAAATATTTCCAAGATGGCGGCGAAATACAAAGTTTGCATGCATTTTACTCGTAGACTAAAATGTTTGAGAACGAAATGATAATATTTTCATAGTTAGGTCGTCAAGTAGGATTGAAATAGCCAATAAAAATTTTCGGTGCCATTGTCCTTTAAGAGAAGATTGCAATACAAAAGTTCAGCTTTATCACTAAATGTCAGACCAAATAAAGTAGCAGAAGCTGCCAAATGGCTTGTAAATTATGGTAATCTTTATAAAGGTGAAGGTATAACTTTCAATGACACTTGGCTTGAAGATAATTCAAATACTCAAATGGTATTTGATGATAGTGACAATGATCAAACTTCAGAGGGTTCAGAAAATGTTGTGGACTGTAATGCAGAAAGCTTGAATTGTGATACAGAATGTAAAACCCAGCAATCATCTGCATGTGATGATGATGATGAACACTGGAGTGAAGACGAGGCAGAAATACCTGCTGGAATCACTGACACTATGTTAACATCTCCAGATTTTGTCACTGATAATGAACGTCAGCATATTTTAAATGTTGCACCTGGTGAGGGCAATAGGCCTATGAGTATATTTAGA